AATGATTCTGATGAGTCAGGCAGTAAGAGGAAATAACTCACTCACAACCCACTGGGCACAAATGTCAATTCAACATCTATTCCACGTTGGTTCAACGTAATTTCATTGAAATTATGTGGAAACAACGTTGATTCAACCAGTGTGTGCACAGTAGGAATTCACTCATCGAGATTCAGCACCTAACCTTTACTTTTACTAGAAATAAGGAGGAAACTAAAAATACTGTGTTCTTTTGTAACAGTTTCGCATAATCAGATTTATGGCTTCTGAATAATCTGAACACAGTTGAAAAAGCATTTATTGCAGGTAGGCTTCTCAGTCATCATGCTGCTAATTGTTGCTCTTGTATAGCTCTGAGAATCAGTATGGCCACCACTACCTTGAACCATATCAACATGCAGGACTGAGACTGAGATCCAGGTTTTTAATCAGTCAAAAGTGAATGGGAAGCATCAGTGGCACACTTGAGGGGAGGGAACACATTCTGTTATTTTTAGAGGGAAAACGGAGAGCAGTGTCACGCCAACTTGTTGTGAAGGGACGGTCTTTTCACTTCAGTTAGCATCCCCCTCACTCTCCTCCTCTCTTTCCCTCTCTCTCTCCCATTCCCCCTCTCCCTCCCATTCCCTCTATCTCCCTATCTAGCTCTCTCTCCCTTTCTTTGCCTCTCTCGCTCTCTCTCTCTGTCTCTCTCTCACTCTCTCTCTCTCTTTCTCTGTGATTCTGTGATAATATCGGCCCACTTCTGCCTCCCCCTATAGTCAAACAGCCAACATTTCATGCTATCTGACGCATCGCCTTGTGGAGAAACATGTTTCCCAAGAACAAATAGAAACCATGCCCATTACATTAGAGTAACAATTATTTAACAACTAATGCATCAACAAGTCAACCATGGACACAGAATGGGGAGCGGTGTAAAGCATATTGTCTGTGTGAAGCAGTCACATACTACAGAATATAACAAACTAGCAAGTTGTTATTGTATAGCAGTAGTGTGATGTCTCTAGCAATGGTATTGTGGTATTGTGTCAGTATTGTGTCAGTATTGACCAGCACTAATAGAAGCCATGTAGTTATCTGTAGCTCAGTTAGTAGTGCATGGAGTTCGCAACGCCAGAATAGTGTGTTCAATTCCCTGGACTGTAAGTCACTTTGAATAAAAGCGTCTGCTAAATGGCATTTACTGTTATTATATTACTATGGTGTCATTGTAGAGACACCACTGAGCCTTGTTAGTGTCGGTGGTTTAAGTGTTTAAATATAAATGCCTCCTCAGGCCTACAGACGATCACTGTGGACTCAGCTGCAGAGCTTTAGGGACAGTGTGCCTCTATTACACTCATATCACACAAACAGCCAAGCAGTCTCCGTTCTTCTGTCCCTCTCACTAGCACCAAACATCCACTCTAATGACTGCTTCTAAACACATCAACAAGACACTCAGACACAAGGCAATAGGCATTAGATCTTTACCTTTAGGAGTTTAGTTCTTATTTACATTCCCAAAATAAATCTGACGTTATTCTACAAAGTTGAAATGTGTTGTATTTAAATGTAACCCTGCATAAGGTAATGTCTCATGAATTCTAAATGGGCTCAGAGTTGAGCCCTGAGGAACCCTAAGTATGATATGACACGCCCAGAATCCCATAGTGGAATCCCCTGATAGAGTGTGTGAGTCATGGGTAAAGGCCCGTCTCTGAGTGTTTAGTACCCTCCTGACCCTTCCACAGGGTGGGAGCTGAGGCCGCCCACAGCTATGCCAATCGAATGACTCATTATGCTAATTGTTTACTAGGGAAAACAAGTTTAATGTTTCCACAGATACACAGTGTACTATGAGATATTCTCTCAGACGGAACAAATTAATGCAAAAGGTTAAATCGAGATGTCCTAATCTATAAAAGCACACGCAAAACTATACACACACACAATCACACACACAGATACACATTCACGTACATACCTTCCACCTCACCCATTTTTGCATTTAAACTGCCTTGTTGAAGCTGAACACATTGACTATGTCCCCTTGAGCCCATTCTTTCCATTATCAGCTCTCTGACAAGCGGAGGGAGGCTGATTTCTGTTGTGTTTTAAGATGATGAGCATATGAAAAGAGCCTGTTGCCTGACAAGGTCAGACAAGGAAATAGGAAACTTGACTTGCCTAAATGTAAAGAGACCGACTCCCACCGTTTACTGTTCAGCTGTAACTTTTCCTCTAGGATTTGGATCTTGGCTAAGTGCCACAGGACTTATGAGGTCTATGTCCTTTGAGCTGATGTGTCAACATTGATGTCTTCCATTTTCTGTAATACCCTAAGGGGCCCAGGGATTGAGGCACAGAGATTTCTGTTCAGTGAATGCCTTCTAAAAGCAGTAGGTATTTGGATCTCATACAGCGTACGTTAACATCCTATGAGGGGGTCCTGCTGTGATGCTATATTTTAGAGGGGGACAACCTCATCTCTAGGTTATTATCTCGATTACATCCCACATTTCCTCCAGCATTTTCCAGATGTTCTCTGTTCCTTGAAAAATTATGTTGATGATTTCAGAACAATAACCTTAGCACATTTCAGTATTTCATACAGACCCTGTCCCACCCCATACAACACCTCCACATGCCAGCCCCTTCCCCAGCCCCCAGCCTGATTATGCATCATGGTTCCTCAACAGACTGCTTCCCATCCCATACTGGCCAATAGAAAGGTACATTTCCAAGGAGCATGTGCGTTCCTTTGCCGGCATAATGGGCAACCCAAGCCAACTCCTCTCAGCTCATATGGGTAGAACTATTCTGACAAAATGTTTCCTTAAGTGCCTTTGCCTTTGTTATTTCTTCCTCTTTCGTTTTCTGAGATATTTCTAGAGAAAGAAACCTAATTAAAAGTGACTCCTACTCAGAAGAAGTTAGTATGGGATGCCAAACCCTAACCGAAGGTCTCCACCTACTCCATTTGTTTCCAGGAGTGACAGATAATGACTTGTTTTTTTATTAGTGGTGATGGGAAGGGAATCTAGTGTTTGTCAGAGCGTCCGTCAGATGTCAGTGAGCGACATAAAGCACACCTGCCTCCTCCTGTCTCTCTGGGGAGAGAGAGACAAACCAAAGAGACGGGAAGCGCTGAATGAAGTGATATATCATTTCCCGCTGCGTTTAACATTTGCACGTTTTTTTTGGCCTGTAATTTAAGGGGCAAGCTTCGACCATAGTGGAGGGATGGCAGTATTAACAGCTGTGTGTATCCCACCTCCCCACACTTGTCACAAGGCTGATGGATAAATGCAGTGGCCAGTAGTTGATGTGTAGGCTACTGCCGTCACAGACACTTTTATTTTATTTTCGCGAGATATTGCGTGCAAATCTATAACCACACATGAGATTTGTCATGCCAGTTTATTTACTCCTGTATGTGAAAGACCACACTGAATCCGTGACAATTGGACTACTCAGCAATGTAACACTCTCAGTTCCTATATTGACTCCCCCAACTTCTCTTTTTTCAACTGTTCTCCATCATGAAAACAAGAAAAACCAAACTTACATTGTTGTTTTTTGTTTAAGCTTTTTCTTGAATCTATTACCCTAGTTACCTTCTGCAATTATCTCACAGGGCAGAGACAAGGCCACATTGCGCCCCTTAGTGGTAAAGATGAAAATATAATTGTCTTTGCCTAACCTACGCTGTCCATGGTGCTGAACAGATTGGCGCAGCGGCGGTTGCTGTCCAATGTGCTGAAGCCCTCTCTAACGCAGCAACTTGAATAAATAAATGCACCAGCTAGACTTCGGAAATCAGTAGGCCTATAAAAGCCTGTTTATCAGCTTTTGTATTATTTCAATGCAGAATAATGGCATCATTAACTAAATGTTAACATGAGCCAGTGGATCTTAGTCCTTAACAATGTCTAATCAGCCTTCTATTAAGACATTTACATTACATTTTATTAGCAGACGCTCTTATCCAGAGCGACTTACAGTTAGTGAGTGCATTAAAAAAAATATATACTGGCCCCCCGTGGGAATTGAACCCACAACCCTGGCGTTGCAAGCGCCATGCTCTTCCAACTGAGCTACACCGGGCCGACATGAAGAACACGCATAAACATATTAAAAAGTGTTTACGCAAACTACAACGGCATTAAATGGCAAGTGCAAGCACAGAATAAAAACAAGATGCTTGATTGATTAACAAATGTTTACCCAGTGTGTGTGAGGAGGCATGCTATAAATATCTTAATACAGGCTTAACATGCAGGCGGCGTCCCTTGAGCCATCAGGTCTTTTGTGATATCTGTTTAGTATGGACGGGTAGCATAATGGAGTTTAGTTTCTAAGCTGTTGACTTATTTAATGGGACATCTTCGTAGAACATGAGGTGCTTACGCCAACGTCCCGCCAATGTTACCGGGGCCTGGATAGATCAGTGTCGAGGTAATGCAGGCCACTGTGCCCAGTAAGACATCCATCTCCAACCATCCGGGGCGGCAGGTAGCTTAGTGGGTAAGAGCGTTGTGCCAGTAACCGAAAGGTCGCTGGTTCTAATCCCTGAGCCGACTAGGTGAAAAATCTGTCGATGTGCCCTTAAGCAAGGCACTTAACCCTAATTGCTCATGTAAATCGCTCTGGATAAGAGCGTCTGCTAAATGACTAAAAATGTAAAAATGTAAATCCCCACCACAAACACCGGCAGTGACACCCACAGACACCCCAGCCTATTAGTTCTAATGTGGGGTGGAGGACAGTTCCAAACAAAGAACAGCGCTCTGCAGACAGAGTCAGACAAACGCAGCGCAACGCCATTCTGACGTCCTTTAAAAACATCTAGCCTATTAGGCCACATATTCTAGGTTAAATCTCTTGGAAGGGTTCATTTATGGTTACAATTATATATCTAATCTACAATCTATTTGAAGAATGAATGTGATCTTAAACACGCCAAAAAATTCAACAAATAAACTGACATAATAGAAAACAGAATTTATTGAAATACTTACTGTACTGGAATAAGCTACTAAGACATAAAACATTTAGTAACTTTCGGTCCTTTGTGGAACAATACATATGACATCTGACTTATTTTTGATACATAGATATCTTAGTAGGCTATATCTTGAGTGGAAACAGAGACAGACGTTCAAGCAAAAAATATCACATCACACGGAAATGTCCTCTGTATATGGGCGGTTGGCATGTCTTTGCGCCCCAAACCCCCCAAATACAAACAGATGACGCACAGCCGCTTACAGTGGCGCCCGAACAATGCGCAACTTGCTCTAGGTATGATAGAGTCTAATAATGATAGTAGAGTTCACATCCCTGCATGTCTGGGAAGCGGTTTAGTCCGGATACAAAATGAAACCGGAAAACGTGCTGTACTTGTTGTTGTTTCCCCCATGGGCCTTGCCTCCGTCCAGCTTGATGTAGATCTCGTCCCCGGAGTCTAAATGAAGCACCACACTGTTGCTGGCGTAGTCATAGTTCTGGTCTGCGTCCTGGGCTATCGCACTGGCGCGGACCTGCGGATAAGACAAATTATTAAAGTAGTGAAGGACTTTGTATCATTACTTAACAGGCTATTGACGAACTCGTGCCCACCCTGACCCAATGCTAAAACATTATAGATTCACCACTTTGAACCTACCAAACGAATAAAGGATTTCGTGTTTGTTTATGTTGGCAATGTGTAGACGCTGACACCGAACAAAACGCTCCAGGTGGCTTACAAGGGTAGGGCTGACCGCTACAGTAAACGACAAAAACCTTCTTAAACCCACCTAGCGATTAGTTTGTTTTTGCTGACAAATAAAGTGGCTCGAGCATATTAATTCACTTACTGAGCTCACTGTGTGAGATTAAGCGCATGGAGCAGATGCCGTTTTGGAGAGATAAGCGCTTTCTGCGCGTAATACCTCCAAGATTGATCTGCGGCAATGCACACTGAATGTGGCCGCTCTCCCTCAACTTCAGAAGTGTACAGTAGCATAATAACTTTGAAAATATCATTGCATAATATCAGGTATAGCCTACCTGTCCGTTTCTGCACAAATCTGCCCACATGCTTGTCCCGTCGCCTCCGCGCATTAATACATGGTATGTAAAGTAGTAGATCCCGGACACTTGGCACGTGAACTTGCCGGTAGACGGGTCGTAATGGTTCCCTAGATTTGTCACCACGTCGTCGAACCTTAGCACCTCGTATCCCTCGTGGGGGTTTTTAAGACCCACATAAAAAGCGATTTTTGTGCCGCCAATTGCGGAGCCTAGGTCCTCACCATTTTCGGTCCTGGCACTGCTCACAGTCCCCTCCACCGTCTCTCCCGTGGTATGCCCGGGATAGCCCGGTTTCCCCGAGTCCCCCCTATCCCCCGGCGGTCCTCTTGGACCCGGTGGACCCGGTTCGCCGGGCGGACCTCTCGGTCCGGGTTTCCCCGGCCGACCCGGCTCGCCTTTAGTCCCATGCGAGAATGCCGGGGGTGGTATGGCGCTCAGGTCCCGCATGACTTCCAGAGCATTGGCGCTGGGTTTGGGGTTGTATGGATCACATATCATCCGACAGGTGCCCATCATCTCGTAGTGCGCGTCTGTCTTGGACGCTTGGACCAGCAGCGGTATCGCTATGATAAGTGCTAACACCATGACGATGCCAACCACAGCAGCAACGACACGCTTCCTCTGGAGAGTCCGAGAAACAAGCGCTAAAAAGTCAGTTTTGCTTTGGGAAGCAATGGTGAAAGGTTGCGCTAAAATTCACTGCAGAAAACGCGAGTGCACCAAAAAGGAATAACTTTATTTCAGGGTTAGGAAAAAGTAAAAACAACAAATGTGTTGTAACCTTAAGCCTAGTTCACCTTGGGGCGTTGTGCCACTATCACTACCCTTCACAGAGTTGACAGGGGAAGTATTCGTTTTGGCATGGCTGGACACGCGCTGGATCTCCGAGCTGAACAGAGAAAGCTTCGAGCGATTTCTGCCGGTCTGCAACAACAGAGGGGAGTAGAGCTGCGCTGACGTAACAAGTTGAGGGCAAAGCCTGTTGCAATTTGGATGAATACTGCAACAATAATCATGCCATCTTTATGTATGAATTATAAATCCCCTGCACCTACCAGGAGAATATTGGATCAGAAAGCATCACTAACACTTAAACCCCATTATGGAAATGTTGACAGTGAGTTGTCTCCCCTATATTTCTGCTTATTTGAGAGAAGAAATCTAAGTGCACGTTTTTGTTATAAATGTGTCCTGTGAAATTACATTATTTAGTTAAAAATTCTGAAATGGTCCCTTACATTCAACGTGTGGAAGATAAACATTCCAAAGAACAATCAAAGAACATTGGAGAAAATAATCCACATCAAGAGCCATATAGGATGTCTGGAATCCACAATGAAAATGGCATCTTCACCAGAACTGTAATCTTTACCATAAAGCCAAGGCTGAAACAATTCAGTGCCCTGTGCTAATTTTGCATGTGATGTTGAACACCTAGTCCTATTTATACACAACATGGGTTTTGGTGTCAAACTGCTGAGGTAGGCCTGAGATAGGAGTACTCTCTGGGCAGACTGGTCAAACGTCAAAGACATCAACTTTGGGGTTACTTTGAGACTAATATTCTGGGTCCGAACCCTGGTCTCTTGCTGGTCGTATTACACTGTCAATGTGATAACCCGCTGAGCTAAAGCCCAGGAATTAGTTTGGGGAGCTAACTGAAGTCTTTAGGTGTCAGGCTATGTTACTCATCACAAGGGCATTGCAACAGTGTAAAATAACCACCTCCATGATCTTTCGAAGATGGCGTAGCAGTGCGGTCGTGTACTCTGTTGTGTGTCCGTGTAAATAGCCAGTTTTTTTTTTTTTTTTGTATTTTGTTGTATATATTTCCCCTATCACACTTTTCATCCTTTCCTGCAACCCGCCTCACTCAATGTGGAACGGATTCTATTATTTACCTTTTATCTAGAATCTCCAGTTGAAACTAGCTAGCCAGCTAACTAGCTACTTGCTATTAGCCACCGTTAGCGGTTTTCACCCAGAACATCAGATTTTCTGCCAGAATAACTGAATCACTGGACCTTAACACCGGATCGCAACCAGCTAGCCGCAACCGAATGGATGTTGCTGTTGGCTAATCACCACTGCCCCCGAAGCAAGCACCAGTTAGCCTTGAGCTAGCCTCGAGCCAGGCCCATATCCCGGCTATCTACCTCTCTGTCTACCGGACGGGAGTAGCCAGCTAGGTTTTTTTTCCACCATTGTCCGTGGCCTGCACTACCTACCAGCCAGCTCTAGCCTGAACTATTATCGGCCAGTCTGCACAGCGCGTTATCGACCAAGAACATATCTCATTTTCTGCCGGAATCACTGAATCACTGGACCTTTAACACCGGATCATCGCAACTAGCTAGCTGCAACCGAATGGATGTTGTGGTTGGCTAATCAGCCTTGAGCTAGCCTCGAGTCAGGCCCATCTCCTGGCTATCTACCTCTCTGTCAACTGGACGGGACCTCCTAGTGTCGACACGGAGCCCCGCCGATCCATCACGACTGGTCTGCCGACATAATCGTCTGTGGTTTCAACAGGCTTCCCGTTGCGACGACCACGAAGATCCATCTGCTAGCCCCGGCCCGCTAGCACACGCAATTCAACAATCGTGCTTCCTGATCGCCTGTGCTGTTGCACCAATTCGAGCTGCTCTCGGACTCACATTGCTGTTCACTGGACCTTATGATCACTCAGCTGCACAGCTGATGCCTGCTGGACTGTTCATTTACATGGTACCCTGTCCTGTTTTATCTGTTTAGCCTCAGCCCAAACTTTCATCGCCATTACCAGTTGTTGTCTTAGCTCTCTCGAATAACACCTGTGATTGCTTTATGCCTCTCTCCCATGTCAATATGCCTTGCCTATTGCTGTTCCAGTTAGTTCTTATTATACAATTTCACTGTAGAGCCCCAAGTCCCTCTCAAACTGCCTCAAATAGCTCCTTTGTTCCACCCCCCCATACACGCGGAGATCGGCTCAATCGGTGCCTCCAGTGATGCTATCGCTTTCATTGTTACACAACACTTAGGTTTACCTCCACTGTACTCATATCCTTCCATATCCTTGTCTGACATAATGCCCTGAATCTATTCTACAACGGCCGTAAATCTGCACCTTTTATTCTCTGTACCCAACGCACTAGAAGAACAGTTCTTAAAGCCTTTAGCCGTATCCTTATTCTACTCCTTCTCTGTTCCTCTGGTGATGTAGAGGTTAACCCAGGCCCTGCAGCCCCCAGTATCACTCCTACTCCCCAGGCGCTATCATTTGTTGACTTCTGTAACCGTAAAAGCCTTGGCTTTTTGCATGTTAACATCAGAAACCTCCTTCCTAAGTTTGAGTTATTCACTGCGTTAGCACACTCCACCAACCCTGATGTTCTAGCAGTGTCTGAATCCTGGTTTAGGAAGGCCACCAAAAATTCAGAAATGTCCATCCCCAACTACAACATTTTCCGTCTAGATAGAACTGCCAAAGGGGGTGGAGTTGCAATCTACTGTAGAGATAGCCTGCAGAGCTCTATCATACTATCCAGGTCTGTGCCCAAACAGTTTGAGCTAGCTCCTACTTCTAAAAATCCACCATTCCAGAAATAAGTCTCTCACTGTTGCCGCTTGCTACAGACCCCCCTCAGCCCCCATGTCACGTTCGTTTAATGACGGGACAGACCAAGGCGCAGCGTGATATACGTACATGTTTATTTACACTGAATAAACACCACGACAAAACAATAAACGAAACGAAACGTGAAGTCCAAGGTAGTACACAAAATAAACCTTACACGGAACAAAATCCCGCAACTCAATAGTGCCTATAGGCTGCCTAAGTATGGTTCCCAATCAGACACAACGAGCGACAGCTGCCTCTGATTGGGAACCACACTGGCCAACATAGAACTAAACATACTAGATCCCACATAGAAAATACTACATAACAAAGAATATACACACCCTGACTCAACATATACGAGTCCCCTGAGTCAGGGCGTGACACCCCAGCTGTGCCCTGGACACAATATGTGAATTGATTGCCCCCCATCTATCCTCAGAGTTCGTACTGCTTGGTGACCTAAACTGGGATATGTTTAACACCCCGGCCATCCTACAATCCAAACTAGATGCCCTCAATCTCACACAAATTATCAAGGAACCTACCAGGTACAACCCTAAATCCATAAACATAGGCACACTCATAGATATCATCCTGACTAATTTACCCTCTAAATACACCTCCGCTGTCTTCAACCAGGATCTCAGCGATCACTGCCTTATTGCCTGCGTCCGTAACGGGTCCACGGTCAAACGACCACCCCTCATCACTGTCAAACACTCCCTAAAACACTTTAGCGAGCAGGCCTTCCTAATTGACCTGGCCCAGGTATCCTGGATGGATATCGATCTCATTCTGTCAGTAGAGGATGCCTGGTTGTTCTTTAAAAGTGCTTTCCTCTCAATTTTAAATAAGCATGCCCCATTCAAAAAATTCAGAACTAAGAACAGATATAGCACCTGGTTGTCCTCAGACTTGACTGCCCTTGACCAGCACAAAAACATCCTGTGACATACTGCATTAGCATCGAATAGCCCCCTAGATATGCAACTTTTCAGGGAAGTTAGGAACCAATATACACAAGCAGTTAGGAAACAAAGGCTAGCTTTTTCAAACAGATATTTGCATCCTGTAGCACTAACTCCAAAAAGTTTTGGGACACTGTAAAGTCCATGGAGAATAAGAGCACCTCCTCCCAGCTGCCCACTGCACTGAGGCTAGGAAACACTATCACCACCGATAGATCTACAATAATCGAGAATTTCAACAAGCATTTTGCTATGGCTGGCCATACTTTCAACCTGGCTACCACTACCCCGGCCACCAGCTCTGCACCCTCCGCTGCAACTTGCCCATGCCCCCCCCCCGCTTCTCCTTCACACAAATTCAGACAGCTGATGTTCTGAAAGAGCTGCAAAATCTGGACCCCTACAAATCATCTGGGCTAGACAATCTGGACCCTTTCTTTCTAAAATTAGCAGCCGAAATTTTCGCAACCCCTATTACTAGCCTGTTCAACCTCTCTTTTGTAACGTTTGAGATCCCCAGAGATTGGAAAGCTGCCGCGGTCATCCCCCTCTTCAAAGGGGGTGACACTCTAGATCCAAACTGTTACAGACCTATATCTATCCTGCCCTGCCTTTCGAAAGTTTTTGAAAGCCAAGTTAACAAACAGGTCACCGACCATTTTGAATCCCACCGTACCTTCTCCGCTATGCAATCCGGTTTCCGAGCTGGTCATGGGTGCACCTCAGCCACGCTCAAGGTCCTAAACGATATTATAACCGCAATCGATAATAGACAGTACTGTGCAGCAGTCTTCATCGACCTGGCCAAGGCTTTCGACTCTGTCAAACACCGCATTCTTATTGGCAGACTAAATAGCCTTGGTTTCTCAAATGACTGCCTCGCCTGGTTCACCAACTACTTCTCAGATATAGTTCAATGTGTCAAATCGGAGGGACTGTTGTCTGGACTCGACTCTTTTCTCTGTGTATATCAATGATGTCGCTCTTGCTGCTGGTGACTCTCAGATCCACCTCTACGCAGACGACACCCTTTTGTATATAACTGGCCCTTCATTGGACACTGTGTTAACAAACCTCCAAACGAGCTTCAATGCCATACAACACTCCTTCCATAGCCTCCAACTGCTCTTAAACACTAGTAAAACTAAATGCATGCTCTTCAATCGAATGCTGCTGGCACCCGCCCACCCGACTAGAATCACTACTCTCGGCGGGTCTGACCTAGAGTATGTGGACAACTACAAATACCTAGGTGTCTGGTTAGACTGTAAACTATCCTTCCAGACTCACATTAAGCATCTCCAATCCAAAGTTAAATCTAGAATCGGCTTCCTATTTCGCAACAAAGCCTCCTTCACTCATGCTGCCAAACATGCCCTCGTTAAACTGACTATCCTACCGATCCTTGACTTCGGCGATGTCATTTACAAAATAGCCTCCAACACTCTACTCAGCAAATTGGATGTAGTCTATCACAGTGCCATCCGTTTTGTCACCAAAGCCCCATATACTACCCACCACTGTGACCTGTACGCTCTTGTTGGCTGGTCCTCACTACATATTCATCGCCAAACCCACTGGCTCCAGGTCATCTATAAATCCCTGCTAGGCAAATCCCCGCCTTATCTTAGCTCATTGGTCACCATAGCAACACCCACCCGTAGTATGCGCTCCAGCAGGTATATCTCACTGGTCATCGCCAAAGCCAACACCTCCTTTGGCCGCCATTCCTTCCAGTTCTCTGCTGCCAATGACTGGAACGAACTGCACAAATCTCTGAAGCTGGAGACTTATCTCCCTCACTAACTTTAAGCATCAGTTGTCAGAGCACCTTACCGATCACTGCACCTGTACACAGCCCATCTGAAATTAGCCCACCCAACTACCTCATCCCCATATTGTTATTTATTTTGCAAATTTGCACCCCTGTATCTCTATTTGAACAACATCACATCTATCATTCCAGTGTTAATACTACATTGTAATTATTTTGCACTATGGCCTATTTATTGCCTTACCTCCATAACTTGCTACATTTGCACACACTGTATATATATTTTCTGTTGTATTTTTGACTTTATGTTTTGTTTACCCCATATGTAACTCTGTGTTGTTGTTTTTATCGCACTGCTTTGCTTTATCTTGGCCAGGTCACAGTTGTAAATGAGAACTTGCTCTCAACTGGTTTACCTGGTTAAATAAAGGTTAAATAAAAATAAATAAATACAATAAAATTATACTGGCAGACACAAGGTATACCACTAAATACAAGTGGGCCTGCATGCCATTTGTAGCCTGAAGCCCATCAATGAGGGCTGCAAAGTGGCACCACCCTGCTGCTGGCTGGCACTCTCCACTGTAATCTGGCGCAGAGCTCCGGCTTCCCTTCTGTTGTTGGGCTCAGCTAATCCTTATCTCCTAGATCCGGGGTTTAACTTCTCACACCCCTGTCTCAGCAGGCTAAGCTAGCGGCTAACAAGGCGCCAGTGTTAATTCCCCCTCGTTCCTCGCTGATGAGTTTCTCACAAACACAGAGAGGAGCAGGAAGCGGCAGGGAGCCCGTAGTGTCACGCCCTCATCCCCCAAGCGACGCCCCCTGGGGGAGGTAATGAAGTCATTACACTTTGTGATTAGCATCCTTCATCCTTCTCCTGGATTTTGAGAAAGTTTCTCTGCACGAACTCTGAGCTCTTCACTAGTTTTATCAGTGCTGTAATGCACAGTCATTAGAGTATTGTCAGGGTGTGCCTGTCGGTTACTTGGCACATTCTAACATTACCAGGCCAATCAGGCTTTTCATCAGTAGTGCCTCAGAAGGCCTGGTTTGAATATACATGCATATTCAAAAGGTTTCAGTTAACATAATAGACAGTTGGTACAACCTGCTTTTCTCTCTATTGGGGGTTATAAGGCAAGGCTAATGGGATGTGGAAGCAGCAGCAGGAGTGTCTTTTTATCTCACCATCTACTGTAGAAGAGAGGAGAGACTCCTAAGATAGGGAACATAAATCATCAGATACTGCAGAAGTCATTGTGCATGAACAGGAGGATGAAGGGGGCGTGGAGCGTCTGTTATTACCACATTCAGCACTGTTCAAAGGAAGTATGGAGGTCAAATTACTGCATGAAGGCTTTCATTACTGTACGTATTATTTGTGGATCAGTTAGTCGGTCACTCTCTTTCCAATGCTCACTCTTATCTCTCTCTCTCTCTCTCTCTCTCTCTCTCTCTCTCTCTCTCTCCTCTCTCTCTCTCTATCTCTCTCTCTCCTCTCTCCTCTCTATCTCTCTCTCTCTCTCTCTCTTCTCTCTCTCTCTCTCTCTTTCTCTCTCTGTGTTTGTGTGTGTGTGTGTGTGGGTGTGTGTGTGTGTGTGTGTGTGTGTGTGAGACTGTCATTGCTCATGTGGATGTGTGTTAGTCACCGCCAGTGATGTCCTAAATATAGTTCACTATGCTTGAAGTCTGAGAGGCAGCTACACTTTGGCTCTATAAGGAGACTGTTTACCAAGTGGTTCATATTGAATAGGTATCTAGCTACATACAGTACTAATGTATACACTGACTGAGGCCTGCAGCTATTGGCCAACACCAACATGCATCCTGACATTCGATACAGTGATATACTTTTCAAATCCCATTTAATATCATGTAATTTCTCTCTAGGTCTCACATGCTATGGATACATGAGCTTTATTTGCAGAGGTCGCTGTCCATTGTCATGTGGTGCTGAATGTTGGAGTTCCGATTATGTCGTTGTCCGCTCCAATGGTGATCGCCGCTATTAGCTTGTTTGTAACTACAGCAACATTTGACCTTTTACTCCTATGAACATGTCACCACTGTGTACTGCTAATGTGATACAAAGAGAGCAATGCAACTTTTTAAGCTGTCTGATAGTGGGAGTAGATATTTCTCTCTCTTTCTTCTTGTCATTTCAACAATCTCTTACAACAGACTAAATGAACCCCCTACACAACTGACTTCCTGTCAGATTGGGAGACACTCAAAACTGTTTTGTTCCAATGAGCTAGTGGCGTTGGGGAAAGACAACCACGCAACACAGCACTAAACAGCTCTAAGTGTTTTCTGTCTGAGCCTCTGGAGGCTGTGGGATCACATGTGAAGGCTGGGTGACTAACAAACACCCAACATGGAGAATATACACACAGGCCCTGCAGAGGACAACTGAAGGTGAAAGCAAAGCTAGTGTGACTGACTGGGTTTGGACCCGGGCTGTCTTCGTGCCACAAGATTTTTAGCACACAGAGCTAAAGCATTGGCATTTGCTTGGGGCGCTAATACAAGTCACACATACATAGACACATAGAGTGTAAACAGAAATCACCATTGCGCTCTCTAGACTTTGCAATGATTCACGTCTGTATCATGACTCATTTTCTGCAGTAAAAATATCAGTTGCCAATACCTACATGTAAACAGTCTCTTACACCACTCCTGTGTAAATGTCAGTTTGTCATTTACAGCACACAACGTGGCGCAGTGCAGAACAGGATTCCAGGCAAGGGCAGCACTACACCACTACACTAAGCCACTTGGCGACCTCCTTGAATTCAACAGACCTCCAGGCCACGAGAGAACAAGATGCCAGCTCTGTGTGTCATACTAACACCGCAGCACTGCCTGTGACATCGCCACACACTGCTTTGGTAGCACAACACAGTCCAGTCAAACTGTCTCCACCTATAACACTGCTCTCTTGAAGCTGCCCTGAGGGGTGATTGGTCGAAGCAGACATGGACAGTTTGCTTGATGTACTGGTCAAATCTTCAGCTGTAGCATTTGCTAATAAAGTTCATAAGGTCATTTAGAGGTACTAGAGCTAGGCGATATGGACAGAAATCCATCGATAATGATAAATAGAACGATAAGATTATAACAGTAATTTTTTTATATTTCCCTTCAAACTACTACTACTACTTTGAGTGTTGTAGCGATCAATGGTCACATTAACAATCATCCATATTAGCAAAGTTATTTATTTTCAAACGTTACATTTTTCTAGTAGTGCCCTATAGGTTATTTATCGTAATGAATGATATTAGCAAAATGTCCACGATAAGTGGATGGTTTGGCCGATGTAGATCATTTTTCGGTTTATCATCCCAGCTCTAAAAGGCACAAACCTTTTATAATAATATATTTTAAAAACTCCAGCACACTGGTGATCTGTGTAATTAATGGATCTTTCAAACAACGTTTCTATTTTAATTAAATTGTTTGTGGAGCATCTAAGATCTTCATTAATAAATACAGGGCCAGGCTTGCATACAGCCAGGACCATGGGGCTCTGCTGTTCTCAATCTGTGTGCTCAGCTGTGACACTGTCCAGAGAGCCATAGGCTCTCCCCAAACGCCTCCCTAATGATGCCCAGCACAATCAGCCACTGACACAGGGCCCATTACAGTTCACTCAAAGGCACTCCATATGGTTTTTCCATAGACAATTCTTATGTAATGAAATATACTTTACATGAACATCTCAAAGCATGACCAGTGTGAGACCTGATGAAGCTTTCAATTAACCTTTTTCTGAACAAATTTGTATATCCAGTGTCCTGCTAAATACACCGTATGTAATCCTTTCTAACACATAACATGCACATCAACCTGGCATGTCACACTGTATATCATCACTTGAGGCAGACATGTTTGGCATGTCACTCTGAACTGCTACTGCCCAGGGTCAACATGGAACCTGCTACCAGCCAACATCTCTGTTCCATATTATTCAGCCTGCAAGTGAACCGTGTCTGTCCCCTTTGGCTGAAGAGACTGAGAAATTAATGTATTTCCATGTTCCAGTTCCATGTTCAAGTAACTGAATTTAACACACCAATACCACCGATTTAACACACCAATATATTGCCGTTATAAATGTGTGCAGAGACACAAGAGGAGAGAGTGAGTGATTTAGCTCAGTTAATGTTTAATATTGAGACTATAAGACATGGGGACATGGCGAAGAACACAGACCAGTATGTGAGCTGCCACATAAAACAAGACAAAGGAAAATACATTTAAAATCAAGCCTCCTCAAACATTATTTTCTGATCGGCTCTCGATAGCTTTACAAACTTGCCAGAGAAAGGGGGATTTGCAATTGTACCCTTTAACCCTGTTCCTCCCCCTCCTATTGGATGATAAGATCAAGAGAAATGTCTCTGCCATATAAATATGAAATGGAAACAACGATGATAAATTCATGAGCTTGACGGTTGAGAAGTTACGTCAAACATGAAGCCTTTTTTTATTCCATCTTGATAGAAGAGCTTTCAAGGTCAATGTGAGAAGAGGGGTTATTTATATTGGATACAATACTATTATAAATGTATTTATGCACTGGATGTTCTTCTCTACCTTGAAAGATAAACGAAAGCTGTAGTTCATCCCTGTCTAATCTGGTTTCAGATCATTCTTATTTCGCCCTAAACCATGTTCAGGTATTAGGTATATTGTTTGTAAAGTTTGAAGTAATACTTGAATGTTTGTCCTGGACTGGTGCATATTTGTCTGGGTCAGTATTTGCCTTCTCTTCATGCCTGTGTGTTTTTTGTTCCTGTAATTGTTCTACAGCATCAGCATGTCATTGTTTGGAGCTCTCTTTGTGTCAGCTCTTGTCAGACTTGTACTCCAATCCTCTTCAGGCGAGGTTCTGCATTTTTTTACTCTGCTCCAGTCTCCAAGCATAGATTTGTCTGTAGTAGTTAACGTTGGAGATAACTCTGAGGAAGATCGATTGAAAGGAATGTAAATAAAACCCACCTGAATCATATCTGCCTCTCCTCTCCTCACGTCAGCAGTACATAATACTGGGAACATCTAGACGGGACAGACAAAAAAGGGACAGACATTGAAAAGGAGAGTTTTAAAAGATAGAGAGCGCGAGCGAGAGAGAGAGAGAGAGAGAGAGAGAGAGAGAGAGAGAGAGCGAGAGAGAGAGAGAGAGAGAGAAATAAATAAATAAATAAATAAATATAAATAAGAGCGAGCATTGGACATGCACATGCCTCTAGCTCAGGGATGGGCAACTTTGAGGGGGTGGGGGCCACAAAAAAACAGAACTCATCATGAGGGGCCACAGTTGCTTCCCCCCTCGCAACAGTAAGTTGAGGCCGCAACTGAGTTCCAAAACTTTTGGGGGGAAATTGATCCGAGGGCCTTGAGCCACCAGTTACCCATCCCTGCTCTAGCTAAATGACTGGTTTAATGTCTCTGGTTTGAGACCCAGGGTTGGCTGTCTGCTGTGGTAATATGATACGTCTCTGTTGTTCTGTCTGGCCATAACAGAGTCATGGCCAAATTACAGACTCTATTGGTCTGTTATTGGTCTGTTTCCTGATTTGTCATTGGAGAGTTATCTTATTATAGATGGTCAGTGTTGAATGATTGTTGTTCTGTCCAGTTTGACCCACTTACAGAGTGCGTGTGACTCTGACTATAGGTGTGTCACATTGTTATCGCTTGGTCCATTGTAGGCCCTTGAGCCTGTATTATGATTCTGACCCAGTTCCAGGGTTCTGCTGTGGCTAGAATGAGATGCAGAGGCTGACATGTGGGATAATGTTGCACGCTC